CGCTGCGCATGCCCGGGAAGTTACCTGCTGTGGGTGCTTGCTGACCGCTGGGTGCCCGCGCGGCTGCGTTGGGGTTGCCACCGAAGAAGGTCTGCGACGTTCGCGGAGTACGAGGGGAGCCGAGGGGCGGGGAAATAGGTCCATCCGGTCCCCGGTACATCTGGTTGACGAGGTTAACACCAGTGAACTGCTCGCTCATCGGGCGCGCACGGCGGGTGCTGGAGGAACGGGTCATATTCCCGATAGGAATGCGAGGCGCCGTCTCTGGGTCCGTATGTGCCGAGTTGGCTGGTTGGGCCGAAGGCATGTAAGACATGGGCCTTTGTTTGGGCTTGTTTGGGCCGACGGCCATGGTCTTGGCTCGCTGCAATAGCGACGCTCCGGACGCGCCCTCCTTCGGCGGAGCGGGGAGATCTTTGTTGGTGTTTGCAGCCGGCTTGATCTCGGTGGAGGTATCCAAGATGTGCTCGAAATCTTGGTGCTGCAGAAGCCTTTCAATGATCTTGTTGATGTAAAGGGTCAATGCCTTATTCTGGTCCTTCATGGACTTGAGCTCCGATTCGAGGCGGCGGGAATGCTCGTTGTCGTTACCACCGGCATCTGATGCATCCTCGGACAGCTCATCTGCCAAGCTTGCGCCACCGGACCGGCCCTCCAGCGCATTGAGCGCATCCTGGTTGGCGGAAACACCCATGTAGCTGAAATCATTCTTAGAGAAATCACCATTGAGCGTCTTCTCCTGGAGAAGCAGTTGGTAGCTCTCGTTATCCTCCATGAGGCGGGCATTGGCCATGCGGGCTTCCATCAGCAGGCGTTCAACCTCCTGCAGTCTGCCGCCACCCTGGTTCTCAGACTCGACCAGCTTGATTTGGGCCTCGGCAAGTTCGAGCCGCAGTGATTCGATCAGCTTATCCTTCTGGAGCAAAAGCTTCGAGTTGTTTCGTGAATCGCTGCGGTTGAGGGACGAAGGAGGGGCGAAACTGCCGTTGTCAACGTTGGGAGATGTTGCTGCTGCTGAAGAATTGTTAGCTTCGGGCCTTCTGGCTTGACAGGGTCAAACTTGCATTGTCTTGACGGACGGCCCTCCTCATCATTCCGCTGCGACAAGTTGTCCTTCAGTCTTTGGATGATGGTCTGCATCTCCTCCTCTCTGTTGGACATTTCTTCCTTCTCCTTGGTCATGGAGCTTCGCTCGGCCTCGTAGATTGCTTCCATCTCTCGCATCTTCTTGGCGGCATCTCTCTTCTCATTTTTCAGCGACTCAATCTGCTCTTCAGTTTCGTGCACCTTCTCCTCCAGCTTGGAAGACTCCTTGATTGCATCGTCTAATCTCGTCTGCAGCACTTCGACCTGTTTCCTGTACTGATCAGAGGAGATCTCGGCCTTGGAAAGGCGTTCCTTGAGGTCGTCCAATAGCGCAAGGGTTTCGGCTCTCGCAGCCTCCTCGGCCTCAGAACTACCGTTGCCATTGCTGTTGCTCAGGACAGAATCCCGCCTTGTTGCAGCTGCACGAGCGGAAACGGGAGTTCCTGAGCGAGCTGGTGCTCTGCGCGCAGCAGATGCAGCCGTGGGCGTGGAGGATCGCGTTGGCGTTCTCGCAGGAGACGCAGAAGGGGTTGATGCAGAATCTGTCGAGGAAACGCGACCGACGCCCGCAGCGGGCGGTTTCTTTGCTGTAGCGGCGGACATGGTATCGCGGTGAGGATTTGTTGTGGCGATGATTGTTGTTGCAGTTCGCAGCGTAGGGTTACCTGGGGAAACGGAGGTAAGCGAGGAGACTCGTCGAGAAGGGGAGAAGGAAAAAAAAAAAAAGAGTTGGCGGTCAAGGGCAGTGCGGAAAGTTATTTCTGTAGTGACGATGTTCCGTTCCAGAGAGAAGAGGCTATCTCACCAAATGTATGTAGTTGCTTATTCTTGGAACAGGTGACGCGGAACACACAACAGCGGGAAAGTTGTCGATCGTTGGGCTCCCCAGATATGCGAAAGGCAGAGGATAGCCAAATAGGAGTGCGGTGCAGAACGGGAGGGTGTGCAGCAGCTTTGCAAGCTTAAGTCAGACGGTGTCAGCCCAGCAGGAAGTGCCTCTCAGACAATGGAAGTACTTTGTGTTCCCAAGTAGACACTTAGGTTGGGTTCCTCTCTTCTTTCGAGGGGAAAGTGCAGCGAGTGTCGGTGTCGGTGTCGGTTGTCCAGTCCACAGGTTGCAGTGAATTTCCGATATTTCGGGGCTGCTCCAGGGGGTCTAATTCGCTAGCCCGTGCAGGAAGGGGAAGACGTGGGCCAACCAGGAAACGAGGAATGGAACGGGAACAATGCTCTTCACCCTTCCAACCCCGGCGCCACTAAACGTTTTCGCCGGGTTGCGTTGCTTGTTGCTTGAGCACCCTGCAGAGTGCAGACTGCAAAAGAGACGGGAATGCCGTGGACGCACTAACTAAGTTTACCTGCGAACGCCTCTGAAGACTGACCGTCATCCAGCAAAGCCTATCCGTAGGTACCTGGGGGTAGTTTGCGAGTAGGCCACCGTGGAACTCTCGAGTGGTTTGACACCTTCTTGACGGCGCAAATTAGTGTGGTAGGTCAGGCAACGGAAACCTTCTCTGGCGTGCTATTTTCGATGAATCCTTTCGCTGCCTTTTCAGGCTCTTGTTCGGTCCCGTATTGTGTTGCGCTGAGCTGAGACTACACTCGTTGGGATGCGTCCGAGGTAACTCTCGTTTCAGTCCCGTCTCTTGGTCACCCGGCGCTCGAAGCTTGAGTAGATGGCGGGCGATGACGGCAGTGCCAGGCAGTGGCCAGCGCTGCGAATGTGGTGCTGCAGACGCCGTCTCGTCTTTGGTTGAGATGGGATGAATGATAACCTTCTTTGCTGTCTGGTTTCTTTCCGAGTTCTTGGGTCACTCGGGGAGCTGGCTTCTAGACGACCGGTATGAAATGGAGGAATAACAAACACGTTTATAGATCGATTTCAGTGATACCATCCTATCGCGTTTTCAATAACAATAACACGTAGACCGCAAGAGCCATCATGAACGAATAGGATCACAATGCTTTCTGGCTCTCGACTGAAACACCCTCGTTCGCTGTCCAGACAGCCAGGCATTGCCCTTGGTGAGTAGCTCTTGGTCACGTTCGCTTCACTTTAGCCTGTACTCCTGTCGTCTGCTGGTTGACTGTCAGGAGCACTGGTAGTCAGGTACCTGTCAGTAGTAGACAGCCACCAAGCTGTCTTAGCAAGCAAAGCACATGCAACGGGTAAGGGTCTCACGCAACCTGCACCCCTATTCTCCCCGTGGTGAGCAGCCGGAAGGCGGAGCCCGTCGATGTTAGTGGGCTCGGCCCGTCTCTGTACCCAGGGATCCCATCGAGTCATTGGACGGCACTCTGCACGAGACCGGCCAGAACTGACCGTGGTGGGAACCGTGAAATTATTCTCATGTTGCCATCAATGCAAAACTTCTGACGGCCTTCCAGATTCAGGTTCAAGGCCCAGAAGCCCTGTCAGATCTCTAGCTAATTTCCTGACCATGAGCCGGTCAAATGTTCAGCATTGGGCTCGACAGACTCGACAACCAGATGCTGATTACCTTCCGAGCACAGGGATGGCGGGATGGGTAGCCAACTTTATGATAAAAAGTCCCTGGTGCCGAGGCCGGATTGAAGTGTGATATCGGAATAAACAGTCACCTGCCAGCAATTAGGGATTATTCAGTGTGTCAGTCATAGTCAGTTGCTGTCTCGCCTTTGACTGCCATCTTGATTTTGGGGCTGGCATGTAACAATGCACCTCGTCTTGTCAGATTCCAGCATGGCAAGGACGTTCGTTGAGTTGTCACGCAATCCAGAAACACCGAATGACATCGTAAAATGGCTGAGTAACAGGCGAGTCCTTTTGATTCAAAGTGCCTATGATCTTTCATAAAGTCATGTCCTTGACAATCCCGAGGTATCATAGCGGCATATCCCAAGCCGCGATCCCGAATTGTGGGATGCATTTTTTCTTTTCCTTCGACCATATTCCCCAACGCCGTTACCAGCCAGACCGGACTCAATCCACTTAAGCGACCTGGTCGCTCAGGATGTCGGAGTCACCGGCATCGATGATGGCCAAGGTACCACAGCGGAAGAGCTTTCCGACGGCAGTTCCCATCTCGATCTGAAGAGGGGTAGCAAGTTAGCTTTATTCACCCTCCAAAGCCTGAGAGACTTCTTCGCTGGGTTGACCAAGAGACTGGAGGTCTTCGAGATCGGTAGCAAGAGAAGGTCGGGAGCGAGGCAGTGCCAGCTCCCTTCTGTGCGAGAACAACTTACGTTGGTGCCACCGAAGTGGTGAACGGGGACCTTGCTCAACATGGCGTAGTACTCGAGCTCAGACTTGCGGAGAGGAGGAGTGTTGCCAGCAATGAGGACGAGCTTGGCCTTGCCGGTGCGGAGGGTCTTGAGGGTCTCCTTGTATCCCAGCACGATGCGACCAGACTTGACAACAAGAGCAAGCTTGCTACGGGAGGGTTAGACCATGACCAGAGCGAGACGTTTTGGATGCAAGTCAGCATACCTGTTGATGGAGTTCTGGTCCTTCTTCGCCTTCTTAACGGGAGCCATTGCGAATGATTTGTCGGGTGAATTGGCTGGGTGGTTAGGTCTGGTGGTCGCTGGGCGTTGAGGCTGGTTGTCGTTCTCAAAGGGAAAAAAAAGATCGCGGAGTTTTGGAGTTTATTTTTTCGATTTGTAAGCCCCACACGGCGGGGAGTCACTTCGGCAAGGCGCATCCAATCAACGCTGCGTATTCACCGCGCTCTTAACCCTAAAGTGGATCCCGGCATGGCCACCTGCTCATTCCGCTTTGCTGAGAAATCAATCGTATTGTCCTTGTCTGATCGCAATCGCCGCAACCTATTCAAAAGTGAGTGACGCCCAGGTTCTGGAGACGAATTCCAACCCACCAACTAACCAACACATAGCAGTAACGAGTGATCCCGTGAGATCTCAATACCGTCAAAATGGCCCGTCGTCCCGCTCGTTGCTACCGGTACTGCAAGAACAAGGTGAGCGACTCCTGTCAAATCCTGGACTCCCGCGAATTCCGACATCCCACGAAATCCCGCGCATCGAAAGAGGAGGATCGAATTACTGCTTGGGAAGAGGCGACACATTGACGGAGAAGTCGGCAACAACTCTTCTCTGATTTTCAACGATCGGAATGACGCACTTGATGAAGTGGGATGGAGGGGATTATCGCAGGCTTGGGAGCAACATACAGAAATCGGTCGTCATACTAACTGATCATTTCTTCAGCCGTACCCCAAGTCGCGCTTCAACCGCGGTGTCCCCGACCCCAAGATTCGCATCTTCGATCTTGGCCGCAAGAAGGCGACTGTCGATGACTTCCCTCTCTGCATCCACATGGTCTCCAACGAGTACGAGCAGCTGAGTTCCGAGGCTCTCGAGGCCGCTCGCATTTGCGCCAACAAGTACTTCGTCAAGACCGCCGGAAAGGAGTCCTTCCACCTTCGCGTCCGCGCCCACCCCTTCCACGTCGTCCGTATCAACAAGATGTTGTCTTGCGCCGGTGCCGATAGACTTCAGACTGGTATGCGTGGTGCCTGGGGTAAGCCCAACGGCACTGTCGCCCGTGTCAACATTGGCCAGATCATCATGTCCATCCGTACTCGTGACTCCAGTACGTTATACCTCCCTCTAGAAACCAACGAAAAAACGATGTCACTAACACACCAAACAGACAAGGCTGTTGCCCTCGAGGCCCTTCGCCGCTCCCAGTACAAGTTCCCTGGTCGCCAGAAAATCATTATCTCCAAGAACTGGGGCTTCACCCCCCTTCGCCGCGAGGAGTACCTCGAGAAGAAGGCTGCTGGCCGCGTCAAGGTCGATGGTGCCTACGTTCAGTTCCTTGCCAACCACGGCTCCCTCGAGCAGAACATGAAGCGCTTCCCCGATGCTTTCGCCTCCGAGGCTTAAGTTAGTGGTTTCGGCTTTCTTCTGGGATTTGGGTTTCTACGGGCTGGCGTCTAAAGTGGTTGCATGTCAACATGATGAGAGTCATGCCGCGGCAGACTCTAGATAGGAATTCAATCATTGACACTTCACAACATCATGCCTCTATGCTACATGACGAATGGGAACGGGATTATCAACTGCGTACTAGCTTCATGAGTTGGGCTTTAGAAGACGCTTGATGATCGAGCCTAGCGGGAAATAAAAACAGATACCATCCATCATTTTGAGACCTGCAGATGAGCCAAGATGCGTGAGGCTGAACCAAGGATGATGTCAACCTGAAATGGTAAGTTTCTAAAGTGACATGCCGTGCCAGACTCTTTAGAGCCCGTGGATCACCCGCAGCAGAGTGTGACACCACGAGGGCGGCGGGCACGGCCTCAGCTGGGTCACGCGGACGAACCCCTCCAACCATCATCTGCTCAGCTTCGCCTGGGATGTCTTAACATTGACAGGAGTCACTGAGAGGGAACCACCATCTAATTTCACGGAGAAAAAATTAGTGGCGAGGTTTGATGCTGCATGGGATGGAGCCTTTGTGAGGCAAATAGTACGTAATTCATGCTGAGAAATGCACAGAAGAAACGAGAGGAAGGGGAAAAAAATCTTGTCCCTTTTCTCTCGGGGACCCGGAAAGTGACCGTGATCTCGTAAGCGCAACGGCTGAATCAGACACCGTGAGCTGAGAGTCTACGGACACAGGTCCTGAATACATCGTATGGACAAAGTACGCAAGAATAGCATCTTACTTGCGTAACTGCGGTCACGTATCGTAGTATTGGGAGCCAGTGCAGGAACAGCCCGCCAAACCGCCTGAACAGCAGCGCCCTGTCAGAGGTGCAGCAGCAGGTGTAAGCGCAGGGCGAGGGGATGGGTGCGCGCCAGTCAAAGGCCGACATCAGATCTGGGGGCGAAAGGCTGGTTGGTGGGAATGAGATTGGGGTGCAGACACCGACCAACGGTGAACCTGGAACAAGCAGGCGGTCGAGCCGACGGATTCAACTCTCTCAGTAGTACCACTCAGGAGAGGGACGGTGTGGTGGTGCAGCGTGGGCGGCGATCAGGTCCCACCGAGATCCCAGGTGACCTAAATGACGTTATCGGGATTTCGGATGGTGCTCGGTGTAAGACTTCCTTGGAGAGACGTTGGGATAGGGAGGTAGGTACCGGTCCGCGAAGTTTGAAAAGTCTTCCTAGGCTCTAGACTCTCCTGGGTTATTTGGTTGAGGAGACCGGAAAGTACCTTTGGGACCTTCTGACTCCTGAGGGTTTACGACTCGTGAGAGGTTCGAGAAACCTCCCCAAGCTTGCTCCGAAAGTCGGCATGAAGGTCGCCAACTACCCGAAAATGAGCGAAAAGAGTCAGTTTTCAGAGCATCCAGAGTGGAATGGGTGACACATTGGACAAAATTTCTCTCCTTTCCCTTACCACTTCCGATGCCGAATGGGGGGCCCTAGCATATCAAAGTAGACTCGGAGCTGGGAGGGGCATGGATCTCGGTGATAAGCTGTTGGGCGGTTGTCTTCCATTTCGATGGGATTTCCTAGACTTCTGCGACTAGCAAAGAAGGCATCATGGCAAGCATGGATCTGCTTGTTGGTCGGGAACAGACAGCCACCAACGTGACACCAACCCCTCGGTGGCTTTACGTACGAGACAGATGCTATTCTACAGGAAGAACTGGCCAAGGAGAGAATGCTCCATAATTCGTAGTCTCCAGTTTGAAAGGTGTTCTTGGGATGATGTTGGCTCCATCTGCTGGGCGTATCTGCAACCGTCGTGCGAAGCTGGCGGTATGATTTCGACATGCTCCGAGAAATGACACCAACATAACCTGACCTCTCTCTCTATCCCGGCGTGCCCGTATCCGCTCTAGAGGCGCTCTAACTTGCGTTTACCAGGGAAGAAGACAAAACAGAGTTCATAGCCCCCCTCCATTCGAGTGTTGCCGCCATGTCTCATCAATCATCATGTCCGCCGCTCAGGGCGCATCTGAACTATTGCATACGGGAAAGGTGTGGCAGACCCTCCACGTAGCCAGTAGACGGCGAGCCAGCCAGTCTCTAAGAGGGCCCTAACGCCATCAGCACCTCATCAGTCAAATCAGCCCAGCTCTCAAGTCTGTCCATGTATGAGGTGGGTGAGTCGGCTGTCACTTTTTGGGCGCTCAGGCATTCTGACACTCTGGGGGAAGCATGGTGGATGGACGTCGTGGTGATCTCTGACCTTCCCTTCAAGTGAACCACCTCAAATCAGGACGGAGGACAAAAAACTAGTAGTCCAAAGCTTGTACCTATTCCCCTCCTCAAAGCTTGCTGAGCGGTTGGAACCTGGGACTTGGGTACCTCTCCAATCCCCACCTTGCGTTTATTTCTTCTTCCTCTTCTCCTATCTGCTCAACCGACAACCGGAATGTCCCAGAGTCATGGATCAAAGTCAAAGGTTCCATGGAGTTGATGTGGTGGTTTTGTCCTTGGATCCCTTGCCCGCCGCACGCGAGCACATCATCCACCCCCATTTCACTCCGACCCTGCGCCATTCACCCGCCTGGCCCCCTTCCAGACTCCAGTAGGTAGCCGTAGTGTATGTACACTTGTGGCTCCTCCAATCTGCCTTTACCTTGGGCTCTCTGTATGTCTCTGTGTCTCCCCGGCTTGAGATTGTAGTCTGAGAATACCGCGCCTGTCCCGCTGTCCCGCCGAGTACGCCCACTTCTTCGGGGTTACTCGTAACGGCGCGCGGTGTAAGGTACATGACCGAAATGGTAGGTATTGTGTACTGAGGTACTTGGCCCGCACCCGCCCTTTTTAGTCGGTGACGCCTTAATCAGTGACAGACCCATTCACCGTCATCCAGTGTGGTCCAGCAGGAGAGATCCACCCCTCACACCCCCCTTATCCTCTTCTTATCATCCATCCCGCTTTCTTCCTTCCTTCCTGTCCGCTGTTGGTTCCAGTAGACTGCTGCCACATATATGCTGTGTGTGGCCTGTATCCGACCACTTCTTGACCTCTTTCCTATTATGAATGCCTGATCGACCTCGACCTTGAAGTCCTTCTCTTCACCGACCTTGGGACGTTGTCAAACGACAAACATACAACACTTGAACTAAACACGCTATTAATACGGGGCGCCGTTATCGAGGCGTCACTGCGACACCGCGACTGGGGGGGCTTATCGTGATTGTTCGCCCATCCTTTATCGGACGAACACAACTCAACTACTTACATACCATTTCGGCTTGTGTTTGTGCCAGATCGACGACTTGGTAACATCACAAACACCATGGCTTTCCATCAACCTACCCGGCGGCCTTCGCAGCAGCGTGCTGCCCGCCCTGTGCAAGAGGAGGATCGCGACATTCCTCAACTCCACGTTCAAGACCCTGCTGCTACCGATGCCTCCCACTCGTGGGTACTCTTCGAACCGGCCGATGACACGACGACAGCTTCTTCCTACCTCAGCGAAGAGGAAGAGTCACTTCCCACACCGGGTCGATCAAGACTCAGTGACATAGGTAGCCTCAACACGTTCCTACACTCGGCCCGCGACACAGAGTCCCGGCAGTCGGGTGTCCTCTCAAGTGCTATCGATGAAGAATCAGTCGAGGACGATGCTGAGCTCGACAGCCTCGACAGCCATCTCCCCGAATTCAGGACGATCCCAAGCCTTTACACACATTCTGCTGGTGTTGCTGGGGCGCAAAGTGTCACCGTACTCCCCACACATGATGGCCTGGGCTCGTTCAGGCTAGACAACCCCGAGGTCCAGGAGCAGCTCTATGCATTTGAGAGATTCAACCCCAGACATGTACGAAGGCGCCGCGAGAGTCTTGAGCTAGCCCAGCTTGAGATGGAAATAGAGGAGGAGCAAGAGACACACAAGATGCAGAGAATCGAAGCTTGGCGACTGGAGCAGAGTCGCATCTTATTAGAGGAAATTAGTAGGGAGACTAGACGGCGGCGGCAGTCCATGGTCTCAGTTAGGCCAACGGTGACGACAGAAGAGAAGAAGGCCGAGGATGTTGCAAGCTTGAGTGTCATCGGAAATGAAGACGATGCTGACAGCATGGACTGGCACTACGAGTCGACTGACACCCAGGACAATGAGCGGGGCCTGCTCGCCAGGATCACCCACAAGGTTCTCAACGACCTGGGCATCGACGAGAGGTTACTCTCAATCTTGCTCGGAGAACAACTGCCGTCAGACGATGACTTGTCAACAACTCCCAAGACAGGCGCAGATTTATCCAACCCACCCACTCAACAGTCCAATGACTCATCTTGGCAGCTGCGGGCGTTGGATCGTGTCGCAAAAGAGCTTGGCCTGATGGTCAATCAGCTTTCGCCGCATAACCATCCTGGTGCCTTCTCGACTTACACTCGCATGCAGCAAATGCCTATTCCCTACGCAGGCCTGCCAGCTATACCAGAGTTGAGCGCTGATACGGCAATGGCTCCCGTAGCACGAGAAGCATCGACCAAGATGCCTGAATTCCAGCCAACAATGGTTCAACACGCGCGCCCCATCAATATCCCCGCTACCCGGCCCCAGTTGGATCCTCCCGTCACTTTGACTAGGGATGAGTCAACCCCATTGCCTGCTACCTTTACCCAAGAGGAATGGGAGCAAGACTTGGACGTCAACCTCGTCTTCAGGTACTTGCGATCCCGCTTCAGCTCGCGGTCGACGCCTTCATCTACTTTCACAACCGGTACTTCCCATCTTGCCACTTCAAGCACGCCAGATACAGCAGCTAAGGCCGCGCGGGTGCGCCAGCATCACCCGCTCGTCTCCCGGGCCCGACAGGTAGAGCGGAGGACTTTCAAGGCGACGACACCATCTAGCCCCGCCGCTATGAGACACGCCTCCAGCTGTGCGAGTCAAAGTACGCGACGATCGGCGAGACGGAGCAGCGTTTCATCACGGCACTATTGGGATATCGGAGGTTCTATCGGAA